GGAACCGTTCTTATAAAAAGTGACGCAATAAAACCTCGACCCCCAGCTTGCTCGCCCAATGCTCACTGCCACATGTCTGCAGACACGCGGAGGCGGTGTGGACACAGAGAAAGAGAAATTTCTGCGAAAAGACAACGGAAGTCATTAAACTTACTAAATCTAGGGATTCCGCTAAATGATGAAGCTGCTGCTTCTGATGATGATACCAGGAATACGTACTGTCCTCTTATAGCAATGGAAAGTGCCATATAGTCATTTTCGTGGCTTCCGCGACTCGCTACAGAATGTGCCGAGGCTAATCATGAAGGCCACACTGTTTTATTTCTCAGCTTTATATTATAGGAAATAAATTTTTTGTCATATATTTTCAGACAAGATTAGTAAACACTAGAGTGAAGTAAAAATTCGTACATATTACGGAAAATTCAGAAGAGTTTGCAGGTATGTTTTTCGAAGTACATTTGAGACAGTGGCTGATATGGCTGGGGCGTTTTGCGTGGAATGACACCCAATGGTGGTACAAAAATTTTGATTGATTGATATGTGGGGTTTAACGTCCCAAAACCACCATATGATTATGAGAGACGCCGTAGTGGACGGCTCCGGAAATTTCGACCACCTGGGGTTCTTTAACGTGCACCCAAATCTGAGCACATGGGCCTACAACATTTCCTGCTCCATCGGAAGTGCAGCCGCTGCAGCCGGGATTCGAACCCCCGACCTGCGGGTCAGCAGCCGAGTACCTTAGCTACTTATACTTATACTTAGTTACTTATACGAGTGTATACAGAGGAATTCATTGTATCCGCATGCATTTTGTGTCTGTTTTGAGTTGTTTCATTGATATTGTTTAGTTGTGAATTATAAAGAGAGTGACCTCTAATTCTTAAAATATGTTATGTAAACTTCTTATGCTATTTATGTTTGAATTTTGTGTTTACAATTTCAGGTTGCTTGAAACCAATGTATTGAATATATATATTGTTTAAACTTTGCACTGTCACGGACTGCGGAGGGACAAGGGCCTTTGTCAGGCTGTTCGCCTTTAGCCCTTTGCCCCTGCAGTGAGCTCTGTACCCGGCTTACTGTAAATAAAAATACTACTACTACTAAAAAAAAAAAAATACTACTACTACTACTAGACCACCGCGGCGGGGCGTACAAAAAGTTTCAATTAGGCCACCAGAGAAATCGGGCTGGAAGGTACACCCGCAGTCTTGTGCTCAGCAGTGAAACCAACATCCAGTAGAATGTGAGTACGGGCACACAAATACCAAGTAGAGAGGACAAGGGGAAGTTGACAGCCTCCGTACCTCAAGTGGTAAAGCATCGCTCACATTATCTGAAGATTTTAGTCACTGCAAACAGCAAGCCATCTTTTTGTCTGTCCACTTTACTTTCTCTGGATTTATATCGCAATTACTCCAACACAGTTAAAACAGCACAATTAATGTCTTGTATACCTTCCTTGGCCTCATTACCTAATTATTTTCATTAAAGGAACATGGTAAGCGTGCCATGTATTTTCGCTCAAGTTTATGTACCTTTTTTTGCATAACCCTAGGAGCTACCGTAATTATTTTAGTATCATTGTTGTCATGAGCCACAATGAAGCAGATTTCTCTTCTTAATGAAGCAGATTTAGCAGTAAAAGGTGTGATGCTCAATTTTTAATAAACTTTTACATTTCTGGTACCTAATTATCACTAGATAATAGCTACTATACCTATATCATGTTGCACAAGAGCACTTCTCACAACAATAATTATGCTACAGCATATCTAAATACTGGCCAAAATCCATAATTCTAGATACTGCAGTAGTTGAGAAAAAGAAAGACGCATTAAAAATTGAAAATATTTTGAAAGTACAACATAACAGCAAATTTATAGATCCGTTGAATAAGCACCAGCCAGATCAGCAATATAATGTTTTTCTGAGCCTAATTTTTTGCCTGTTCTGCAGCCGTGTCAGCACAGTTCAAGAGTGTGTAGGCCCTACACTGCGCAGAGCTCGGTCGAAATTCCAGAATAGTTGAGCCCATTCATGCAGGCTATACTGCCATCATTAAAAGTGAACACAGCATCAAGAGTGCACATCTACAGTGCTTGGTGCCCGAGGAAGAAGTTTTTTTGGAACAACTCGCTAGTGTTTTCCCATAGAAACAAGTCATTGAGGATGAGCTAGTTTCAGATCATTTCACTTGATGGCCTCAACAACAGATGCTGGAAGGTGTTTTTTATGAACAAATGCTTCACCATTCAACTGGGCTTGCTTGAATTTGCACCACGTTTTGGCATCCTTCAAGCCGTGGGATTGATTGGTATCCTTTGACGCCATGTGAAAATATGTAGACTGGACAGCTTTTAACAGGTCTTCCAAGCTGCCCTTATTTCATTTAATGGCTCAACAATAATAGTTTTCGTGCTTGCCAATGAAGACACCACTAAGATTTTCCCAACCAGATACCCGACAGAAAGCTTGATGCCTCTGCTTTCTTTTGTTTTCGCAGTTCTGGGCCCATTCTTTTTCGAAAGTGCCAAATGCACTTCAGCTAGCAAATTGTAACTTCTTCATATGGCTATGATGCTTGAACTGCAAGGAATCCCTTGCTACGTAACAATGGGGGCCTGGCAGGCCACCGCAAAATTTTGAAATATGTCATTTTAGAGAGCAAAAAACCGTACTAAGACAAAGAAATCATAGATTCGGGTTCAAAAAAGGCTGCAGATTTTAAATAACCCAATAAGAAAAAAAAAATTTTTTCCAACACTTTTTCTTACTCTGCCTCCAAGGTGGCACCAACAAAAAACAAGCCTTTGAAAAATTCTCTTGTTTCATTTATATTGATATTTCAACGGTAAGTGAATGGGAATTTTGAACAAGTAATTAGACTAACATGATCAGGCTTTGTTCATTCAAATAAAACTTAAGAGGAGATGAGAGTCAAAAACACAAGTTTTTCCAAAATTGCGTATGCCTTTGCTTTCACAAGTTTATTTTCTCTACTATAATGACAAAAAGTGCACACTGTAATTAAACTGAAAGTACGTAAAAACAGCTTTTATAGAGCACAAGGTGGCTGCTAAAAACTAAAGAGAGCTCAATGTATAGAGTCCCCAGGGTATTGTCACCTGGCTAGTGCATTTAGCTTAAGGAGTTCACTTAAGCCACACGCTCAAAGTAACCACGATTGCCAAGCTCTCATGATAGAAGAAATCATCTTAAAAAACATATTTTCTGCACAGATGAGCTTTCATTTGTCCTTTTCAAATGCGTCTTTCTCAAGATCCATTTTTTGGCAACTTCTTGAGTTTAGACATCATGTTTGTGGCATTTCTGATAGCCCGATCGGGGTGAAATTTTGCCCACATATTCCTTAACATGTGAAGGGTGCAAGTACCTCATTTAGAATAATATATCTCCTGTATAATGAATGCAAACTGAAAGTGAACAATCATTATAGGCTGAGGATATTGAGAATTCTTACATTACAATTTTACTTGCTCATTTATTATTTTATAAGCATTTTTTTGATACTTATTTGCCTCCTACAGTTAATGTAGAGCAATATGAGTCATTAATGGCTCAGAATAGTAAACGTTTAGCTCTATGATACACATTATGATGGCATAAAACTAAAGCTGTACTACTTACTATAAAACTAATTATATATTTGAAATCAGCATAAATGCCTATATACGTACAGGGTGTCTCACATAACTTGAGCCAAGAATATGAAACTGAAAGGCACTTAGGAGGCAAATCGAACCAAATGCATACAACTCGCACTAGCCTATACGTATTCAGGCTATATTTATTTATCCCCATACTAATTAACTAATATTTCTTAATTACATTTTTAAATTATGGGCTGGAAACCCAAAATATGAGCACTGAGATGTAGAGCACTTTCCGAAACCACCGATTGAATTGTTTCCTTTACGATACGTCTTGCACTGTTATTTTTTCCACGTAAAGAAAGCCTGCGAAACGTGAAAAGAAGCCGTGCGACAGACCGCGAGCGCACTGCTATAGTTCTGTTATAGGCTTTCTTTTCAACGCGTAAAAAATAACAGCGCTACAAGTATCCTACAGGAAACAATTTTGTCGGTGATTTCTGAAAGTGCTCTACATTTCAGTGTTCATAATTTGAGTTTCTGGCCCATATTTTAAAAACAGGTAATTAAAAATTATTAATTAATTAGTATAGGGAGAAATAAAAAATTGCTTGAGTACCTACAGGCTAGTGTGAGTAGTATGCATTTGGCTCAATTCACCACTGAAGTGTCTTTCATTTTGGAATTTCGGCTCAAGTTATGCGGGACGCTCTGTATATATACAGCAAAAATTTCATTGATTTAGGCTACAGATTAACGCAACTTTTTTTCAAATCACATCTCCCCTTAAGGATTTGAATGACTCCTAAGCGCACCAAACTATCCCTGCCTTGCACTAAACAATTCAAAGTCATACCTGCAAATTGCCGTACTTCGTCGTTCTCTGCCATTGCTTGGTACCGCTTGGCACAAGTAGAATTTTTAAAGCTGTACCACTTTGCCCCATAGAATTGACCAGACAAGAAACAAGGCAAGTCTGCTTTTACTGGCATGATTATTGTCTTTTACGTTTGGCAAACATCTCAAGAGTCACTGTCATTGCCAGCAAATAAAAAAAAAACTATGCTCTTTTCAAACCAAAGCATATGAAAGAAGTGCACACAGCATCAAAGCAGTATGCTAGTCGACGATTCTCAAAATAGATGAGTATGGCAAATTATTTCTTTCCTAAGTGCAACAGTCTAGAAAACTGCTTTCATGGCCCACTATCATGGCCCACTTTAACTGCCTGGTGCATTCACACGTTTATGTAAATGGCACATAATGGCATGGAAGCAAAAAAATGCATTAACTTGTGACATAGACTGGTTCCCAGCCCATATAAAGAAAGTCATATACATGCTGCCTGTGATTTTCCAAGGCTGCCGACCCAATCCTGCTTCAGGCCAGTCCCAGTAGACTGTCCTCTTCGTCTTCCTCGCTGGCTGGCAAAGAGTCCGATGGGTGCTCCTCTTTCATGTGCGCTTCAAGGCTCAAGGACTCGGTGAACACTTGCTCGCAGCTGGCGCACGGGTAGAGCACCTGGCCATCGCTGGAAACATGGCGCTGGAGGTGCTGCATGAGTGCCTTCTTATCCGCACATGTGAGCTGGCAAAGCGGGCAGCTCATGGGCTGGTCCCACTCAGCTACATTGGCCTCGGCGATGCCGTGGCTACAGCGCAGGTGTGCCTCTAGATGCTTGCCTTGTGCAAAGGTCTTGGCGCAGTGTGGGCAATCATGCCGGGGCTGGTCCCCGTGGGTGCGCATGTGGCGGTTCAGGCCACTCTTGTGAGTGAAGCGGCGGGCACAGCATCGGCACGAGTACGGCTTCTCGCCCGTGTGGGTGCGCCGGTGCACAGTCAGGTTGCGGCGGAACACAGTGGAGTATGTGCAGAGGTCGCAGTAGAAGCGCTTCGCTCCACCAGTCACTGGCGCCCGCCTGCCCACGCGTGGGCCTGCGAGGTAGTTAAACATTGCAGAATATCACACTAAACTCCTGCTTTAATTCATAGTTTGCACTGAAACTTGCTGCAACCAGCAATAGCCATTCTTCACACAAAAGAATATACTCGGTTTTCAAACAAATATCAGCTTGAATGCAAAATTCACTACACAACCTCAAAGCTTGAAAACAAGTTGTGAGGCACAAGAGCTTATGATGGCATCATGAATAGTACCCTTTTATCATAAACGGCGCAGCACAAAAAGTTAGGCAGCAAAATTTAGCAGTACATGAAATTAAAGCAATGTTAATATGTAGTTGTGATAATAGGCACAGCTAAAAATTTCTGCTCCCTGTCTTTATCACACTTTTTTTACATTTTGAATCAAGACCAACACAAGCCCTCTTTTCACTGATCGGCTGAAGTAGATACTAGCATAACATTATATCTGATTAAAGATCAATAAAGTTTTTATGTCCCTTCAACATGCAACACTCAAAATTTCAGGACTTGAAAGGTTATATGGATCGAAGTGCTGGAAGGATGCCGATATTTTACATAAACTACACAATAAGGTACACACTTAATGACCTACACACTGATCAGCCTATTTTCAGCAGTATACAAAGAAATTATGAAGGTAATTATGCACGCGATAAGCAACATGTTTGACTAATCAATGAAAACAACAGGTATGCTTTAGAAACGAGACCATGAATAATCAAGTTATTAAGACTATTCAAATAACTGAAAAATCTGTCAAATACAAACAATACTCTAATGGCAGTCATAGATGAAAAGATAATTGACTTGGTAGAGTTACCGGTGGTTCTGAGGATGCTTCGACGACATGTCTTACAGTCAAGAAACACCAATCGAGAGAGAAATTGAACAAAGATATAGAATTTCAACACTGTTGTTTGCAGAAAGTTCCAAACAAGTATGTAAAAATAATAAATGCTGGGATCAGTGGAGTATACCTTAGCAATTTATGGTTTGCAGCATTCCTAAGCAATGACAGCGACAAATTTAAAAAAATATTGACACAGGTATGCACTAGTGGTGAGGTGTTATTCCCACCCCACTGTAACAACCCCCCAATGACTGGTGAGAGCATTGTGAAAGAGAGAGACTTGGTAGTTCAACCTGTTGTTTCACACCACATGCTGCTCCACTGTAAGTATAGCCACTTTACGACAAACAGCTTGGCTCGCTGGTTTGTTCCGGCACAGTGTATATTAGAAAAAAAATTACATCAAACAGCTGTGCATAAAAGTTGCCCTGCCCCATCACAAAAGCTGAAACAGTACTGACAGACAATGGACACAACAGTTTAATATGTGACACTTGGCACGCTTTGGTGTATAACTGCTGTACTTTCGTGCACCAATTTCTTATAATCTCTCGTGAAAGAAGATGTGCCAAAAATACTTGGTTACACCAGATGAACATTATTCCTATCCCTCCTCACAGTTGTGAAATTGCTTACATGACCATTATTCATACAAAGCCTGAATATGCATCTTCTATTTGGAGCCCTCACCAAACTTACTTAATCTTCTGGAATCTGTTCAAAATTAGGCTGCTCGACTTATTACACCCAACTACAATACTGAGAGGAACAGCGCAAAAAGGGGGATGGAGAAAGATTGAACACACGTGCCGTGTCATGTGTTCAATCTTTCTCCGTCCTGTTTTTTGCGTTGTTCTCCATGATGTTCTCCATCATGTACCAACTGGCCTTTCAAGAAACCCTTCTGCAACTACAATCATTTGTCAAGCACCAGTTTTATCAGAGAGACTTCAGACTTGAGAGACTTTAGACTTGCTGAATTTAGACATCTGCTAGAATTAATGAATGAAAAACTTTTATTGGGATCCTGAAGGATTCCACCCCCGTTTTATAGGGGTAGGATCGCGGGCCGCTCCCACGTTGGGACGGGGAAGCCCAGAAATAAAATTTATTTAGTGTGTTTTACGAACTGTACTATTATTTTTCTTACTTCCATGGTTCTCCATTACTTACTCCCACACACCCACTTCTCATTGCATATTTAATTCCAGAAGCCTCCAATGACTGTTTGGTAGGACCACTGCATGAAAAAATCACTTTCATCGTCATCGATGAATGGAATAACTTACCAGAAGCTATTATCTCAGAGCACTACTCATGCCTCTTTGAACAGCTACTAACACATCATTGACACTTGAACTCATATTAACACACCACCTTTATTGCTGTATTTTGTGCTGTGTATTTTTGCATATTTGCTGTACTCTATTTTTTTCTCTACTTGTCCCCCCCCTCCTTCTGTAATCTCTCCCCAAGGGTCAAATAAATGATAATGTTGAAGACAAATATCATAGTTCACTGAACAGTGCCAGTATTGTGACAGAAAAAAGCAACACCAATGCATCTCCAAAGCTGTCAATGAGCTTTTCAATATGGCTTCTTCAAGAAATCCAGAAATAGCTCCCGTGGCATCTTTGAAGCCTCTGCTGGCCTTGCGTTGTGATTCACTCTGGAATGAGATAGCAAGACATATAGGCACTGCTGCTGATGAAAGCATCATGTGAAAATAGCATCATGTCCACCATAAATGTATACAAAATAAAAATTTAAATAAGAACACAAAAACATTGAAATTCCCTTCAAAAGACACTGTCGAATGCAGGGTTTCCTGTCCTGCTATTTTCCTTTCTCTTGACATCCCGCAAAGGGGCAGAGATGTTGTGCCCCACTCTCTCAGTGCTTTACCTCGCCAGGGAGCACTGCTGTTCGTACTGGTTTTGGGAACCATAGTAAGAGTGGAGCTGGTTGCGAGTTGCCACCGATGACTGGCACAGTGGCCGAGATCTGTTCTGCCAGGAGCTGCAACACTACCAGCCATTCATATTTTATTCTCCCATATTTTGCCAATAATCTAGAAATGCCAAGCATGCAGACAAAGTATTTTAGAACGATCAAGGCATGAATTGGCGCAATGTGGTCGCGTCTTCAGGAGTGAAGTTTCAGTCACAGACTGGTGGATCCTGGCTTTGGGTACCGAGAACTGGTGCTCACTGTATCGACTAGCTCGCTATACCTTGTGGCACGGACCAGGGTTATTTTCCTTCCTTTTCACAACCCACCATGATACATAAGCCGACGAGCCAAAGCGACTACATTTGCCAGATACCTTACACAATGTTGCAGTTTTACCAGTCACCTATCAATACATTTGCAGCACATAATGCAGCTAGTACAATTCACGGTGCCCAAGAAAAGAAGCCTCATGGTAAACACTGCCGAGCAGCTCAAATCAACATGGAGCGCATTGTAACAAGAACTAGTTTGGCTGAGATCGGTAGAAATTCATATGCTTAAGTCTTGTAACAAATTACACTCTCAATACAGAGAGCTTCAATTCGTCGATTGACTATTAAGACTTCCTTTACAGGCTCTGCATTGATACAAAGGCATCAAAAACAAACTCAGGGTTCTTTAATTTGACTGATTCCCCATCATGCTGAATCACATAGGCACATAAATGATTGCTGAACACATGCATCAAGCACAGGAGTGAGTGTGTAACAAATGCATACAGATGAATAGGCACCACGCACCAAAGGCTTTACCACAATGCATTTTATTTACTGTAGTGAAGCATACTTGATATGAACTGCAATGGTGTTTTGGCAGCAGCCACGGTGAAAAATGTATTGATGGCTGAGCACTCTGTGCTAGAGTCTCTGGTGCGTAACGCTAACAGGCATAACCATCCCCTATAAATCTACCACTACGGCAAGAATCTGCATTTGTAAGTAAACTTTAGTCCTCAAAACATAGATTAAAGGTCATTAACATTTTTGCAGCGAGAGATTCAATGCTGTCACCTGCAATATTGTTAAAAAGGACTAAAAAAAATCAACACGGTCAAAAAGCTGGACCATGCTGTCAACAGCTACCATGTCAAAATTTAATAAGAAGTTCTGGCAAAGCACTGAAGCCAATGCTTTACCTTGCACACAATGCAAACAAGTAAAATGAGAGAAGTTCAATAAAAGGAATTCACTAAACATAAACTTAGGGCCCCCACACTGCTGGTCGGTTCACTAACAACTGCCAAGAGTAGTCTACTATTGGCAACAGAATGAAACGGTTCCTTATCATCTATTGCATTTGTAGAGCTTTGTGAATTTTTATGGCTTTTTCTTTTTTCAAGTTGTTTACAAAGATTTTTTTTGCAAAATATTGCAACTATGTTATGCCCACATGGACATGAACAAACAAATAAATAAAAATACATAACCCAGTGTCGGCACAGATATGATTTGACTATAACACCTCAACTACATTCAAATGACAATAAAAGGCCTCTGCGGTAACCAAGCCTTTCTGCAATAACGCACTCATTAACTTTGCCACAAGCCATCTTTCATGACAATGGCCCTAAAAAGGACATCGGGCTAAGGGTTCTCGCGGCAAAGATACGAACGCCATTTTTCTTATTTTTTTTTTAGCTTCTTTGGCCAATTGTGCTTCTTGTGCGTTTGCCTGCCTTGGCGACACATGCACCGGTCTAAAATTCTTTTTATTAGATTTCTCGAGTTTTGCTTTATTAGGCTTTTCAGTGAAAGTGACAAACCCACCTAACTTCTCAGCTTTCACTAGTATGTTACAAGCTTGTTGCCCCTGAAATACTTGAGCACACCGTAATATTCTCTTAGATTCACAACTCCTTGTGTTCTGCCTCGTCAAGCAGTTCATACCTTCCAATAACGCTCTTTCTCGTTTCCATAGGCTTTGTTTGCAACCTGGCGGTGATTCTGCCACTAATTTCAAGATAGTGAGCACCATTGCCAAAAAAAAATAAGATTAAACAAGAAGCTTGTGAGGGTTCCGAAACCAAACAGCTGGGCAATGTCTCAGTCAATTAAATTTTATTTAACATGTGAGAGATGGTTGGAGCAGAGACAAAAAGCATAAAAAGGCTTGACTAGATTTGTAATCATGTGCGAGTGATGTCTCAGTCTTTCTTACAGATAAACAAAGGGCATTTATAGATAACTGGTGCCCGTTGCAGCGACTTTGGTGTTTTATGTCAATGTAATGATGATGATATGTAGTGCTTATTGTTGCCAGGGCCAAGTGATAGCCAAAGAGCGCCATGAACAATGACGAGCGAAAAGCAATGGTACATTATTGAAGTGATATGAAGAGGACATGAACAATGATAGTGTTGCACAGCTGTAAAGGGGTGTGAAAATTCCAGAAACGGTTGACACTCAAAAATATTAAAACCACGGCGGTGACGTGAAACGCGTAGAGCTGGAATAAATGACAATATTGGTGCTGAGGGCCGCCGCAGCCGTGACCTCTGTACAGAGGTTGAGCTAAAAATCCCTTCGTGGTATGGGGTGAAAGCTATGTACATCTTTTGAAAACATAAAAATGACTGAAGTTCAAAAAGCGGATCCCTACCGATGAGCATGACAGGATGTAGTGGGAGGCGTCACTCATAATCATATGGTGGTTTTGGGACGTTAAACCCGACATATCAATCATTAGGATGTAGTGATACCTGCTGCCGGTAGGGCAATAAAACGTGCTTTTTTTTAGAACATCTAAATCACTACAGTGAATGAGGATGTGGAGAACCGTAAGTGAGTCCTCCACACCTTTCACAGATGGGTTGGTCACTGCCAGACTGCCAGCCACTGCCAGCTAGAAGTATTTTTCTAATTACTGCTTAGTTACGACATGAGACAAAATAATGTTAAATAGTTTCCGATTCTTCGCAGAACGGACAAAGAGGGGAGAGTGTCAGGGCAGCTTTGTGTAAATGAAAATTTAGTGGGGGAACACGGCACCGGAATCTGGAGATAACAACTTCAAATTTTTTCAACGGACTCCACTAAGATTTCCATAGAAACTTGAGATGGCTGAAAGGCAAAAACTATTGTCGTTTTCTTCCGACTAAATGTACTAAATGTTTCCCACTTCCCTCTGGGATATATCTGTGCACAAGATGGTTTTCTTACTGCCTCAAGGATTGGAGACAAAGCTAGCTTCCTGCCCCTTGGCTGGTCATGCACTGCCCTCATGATCAGCCCATTTTTCAACCAAACGAAGATGTTATATGATGCCGTCAAGTTATGTGACCTTCCGATAGGTCTCAAACATTTATGATATGTGACGTCATACCATGACGTTTTTATGTAATGATAATTTCTTGCATAACTCATGTTCACGACGCCGGACGCCGCCCGCGATCAATTGCTATCGTATTAATGCACTGTACAGCTGTAGCTCCGTGAAATTGCAGCTCCCGCTGGTGTTCGGGGGAGCGTGCTTGCAGTAATCAGGCAGAACAATTGGTCTCCTAATAAATCTTCGTACTACACTTTAATGTGTTGACTTTATTTACAACCCGAGTATTTTATAGATTATGAGTAGTTGGGGCTGAAGACTACCCGTCACACTTAGCAACATGGCAACAGGAATCACTAAACGGGAGCGCGCTGCATCCGAACCGTAAAAAAATGAGTCTATCAGTAGCAATACTGCCTCGCGATCCTTAACGTGTGCAACGCTAACATTTCGCCCCGAAGCTGAATGGTAACCCATGGGCGCCACACATTCATCATCATCATCATCAGCCTGACTATGTCCACTGCAAGACAAAGGCCTCTCCCATGTTCCGCCAGTCAACTCGGCCCTGTGCTTAGTGCTGCAAATTTATACCCGCAAACTTCTTAATCTCATCTGCCCACCTAACCTTCCGTCTGCCCCCAACCAGCTTGCCTTCTTTAGGAATCCAGTTAGTTACTCTTAATGACCAGCGGTTATCCTGTCTACACACTACATGCTAGGCCCATGTCCGTTTCCTCTTCTTGATTTCAACTATGATATCTTTAACCCCCATTTGTTTCCTAATCCACTCTGCTCTCTTCTTGTCTCTTAAGATTACACCTACCATTTTTCTTTCCATTGCTCGCTGCATCACCCCAATTTAAGCTGAACCCTCTTTGTAGTCTCCAGGTTTCTGCTCCGTAGCTAAGTACCGGCAAGATACAGCTGTTGTATGCCTTCCTCTTGAGGAACAGAGGCAATCTACTTGTCATAATTTGAGAGTGCTTGCCAAATGTGCTCCACCCCATTCTTATTCATCTGGTTACTTCAATCTCGTCGTTCGGCTCCTCGGTTATTACCTGCCTTAAGTAGACATAGTCTTTTACAACTTCAAGTGCACTATTACCTATCTCGAAGCGCTGCTCTCTTCCGAGGCTCTTGTACATTACTTTCGTTTTCTACAGATTCATTTTAAGATTCACCTTTCTGCTCTCCTTGCCTAACTTCGTAATCATGAGTTGCATTTCGTCCCCCGAGTTACTCAGCAATGCAATATCATCGGCGAAGCGCAGGTTACTAATGTACTCTCCATTAACTCTTATCCCTCACTGTTCCCATTCTAGGCCTCTGAAAACATCCTGTAAGCATTCGATAAATAGCATTGGGGAGATTGTATCCCCATGCCTT